AAGTAAACACAGGTGTATTTATTAGGGCTCATATAGCATGAGCAGTTATTTGTCCTAGAGAAAAAACATTGTAAGGCAAATTCTTTCCTCTAATTTAACACAATAATTTTTCATCTATCATATGTTTCACTTTAAAAGTGTTTCATAAATGTTATATTTAGCCATGTGAAAATATGTATTATTCATTGAAGTTACATGCTGAGTGGGGAGTGATTATGGCATGTTTTATTGTGTGATTTCTGTGTTTAAAGGTGTAATAAAGTAAGTAGGATGCTGTAAAAAGTGGCTCAGAATTGCAATTGTTGACCTCTTCTATGAGTTCATGTTTATATGTTCACAGAGGGGTAGAAATCCCTTGGGAACCTCAATTTCTGTTCTTCCCTTGGGGTCCCCCCAACTCAAAGTCATACTTTCTGTGCCTTGGGGGAGGCTTTGTAAAACACAGTGGAAAACCATGGATTCTCCAGCAGCCTACACACAGCCACCCATTTTCTTATTATACCTTCAGAGATAATTAAAGAATGAAGGCTTTTCTCATTACCAGGTCTGGAACCAAAAGCAAAAAAGACTTCAGTCTCTCATCTCTTTATTCCTCTTCAGGGTACCCTTGTGACTCTGGTAGACCTGCTCACCTCAGCATGGGCAAGGAAGGCTCTTTGGAACTGTCAGGCTGTCTCAGCACCACACTTTGCATTTATTATAAAGCACAAGGTTACATGTTTATGAATCTTTCTTAATATCTGCCACCTGGTTTTTGGTTCTATAGTAAATGGGAAAATGTGCCAGAAAAGAATAGTACCTTTTAATATTTAAACTTCAGCAGTATTTTCATGATTTTATGTTTTCTTTTTGATAAAATCCATAACTCAGAAATGAAAAATCATAATGCATGTCCCATTTGTATTTTCTTGTCTAATAGTACTAATAAATGCTATAATTAATAGTAATAACAGCAGCAATAATATTACTGAGTAGTGACTGAGTGCCAGGCACTGGTTTAAGTACTGCTTAGATGGGTGGGGAAAGTCGCTAGTTAACAGTTTATGACAGGTTTTAGTCTTCTCATATTTCCCTTCCCCAGAGATACTGCTTAGATCTAGTGGACAGGTTGCCCACCTGAAACCTTGCCAAAGGAGTAGCTTAACAGACAGGGATCTAGTATTGCTAAGAGTCTGCTCTGTTCTCCTTTTCTGCTTTTATATTTCTACTGAACCAAGATGTTTCAGTTTGTATTTTGAAGCCCACATACAAAGACATTTCAGTATTACTTCATTATGTTCATGAAAGGAATTGCACACTTTGCATCTTTAAATGAGTATCATCCTATAGTCTCTTAGAAGTCAGCTAAAGGCTCACCATTTCTTAAGAGAGGTAAGAAGAGTGTGACGATTAATATCACTACCTCCAATAATAATCCTCTTTAGCTTTGCAATATTTTTCTCTTTGCAAAATACTTTTATATGCATTAACACCAGTTTCTTATTTGTAAATAACTGAAGATGCAATAAGCTATTACCAGGGCCTGTAGGAAGATGTGTATTTCAGGAGAGCTGTCTTAGTTCAAGGTTATTTGGATTCACTTTCAGCAGCCACAGAGAAATTTAAGGTAAAAATTCTTCAACTGAGAACAAGTGACTTAGACCACTCTTTCAACGACAATGCATCTGTGTCTGATAAGGAGACTGAAGCTGCTTGACAAATCAACAACAGCAAGGTTCAGTGGAAGCCTCCTAATTAATGAGGAGAGAAACAGCATTTTGAGAGACTGAGTGGAAAAGACCCTTTTGAGCCACATTTGAATTTTGCCCTTTAAAATGTCATCATGTTTAGTTAGTGTCAGTAGGCAATAGTCACTGACTACATGGATGTCTGTAAGATATTGGACATTTTCACCTCCAGGATTTCTATGCATTTAATGGGCAAAGGCAGAGTGGTACAAGAAGTTTGTGTTACTACAAACTTCTTTTTTTTAACTACTTTTACAAAGTAAAAGAAAATGAAATAAATAACAAATTTTCTCATTTATTTTCCCCTTAATTTGTGGAAGGTCTGCTTAAGAGTCATCTCAAATACCACATTTATTGCACAAATAAATGAGATTTTAAAAAAGAGATCAAAGTTAACCCATTATTCCATTTTCCTTGAATGCCCACATTTCTCTGTGTTCCTGTCACATCTGCCCATAGACATGATTCCTAGTGAAGAGATCGCGGCACAAACCTGTCTTTCTGCTTTTTTGCATTTGGAGCACTGTGTGAATGATCATGTAAATAATGCCTAACGTTTATCATATGCCTACCATGTACCAGTCTCTTTGCTAGTAATTTTATTCCCATTGTCTTAATATTCAAAAGCATCATATGTGTTTTTATCTCATGAAAGAGAAGATTAAGCCTCCAAAAAGTATCATCTCCAAAATAAATATTTTTCAGTAGTACTTTTCCTTCAACATTTTGAATGGTGCACATTGAATCGAATTGACCTTTCATCTTTAATTTCACAATGTCTTTATTGAGATATGTGAGACATCTGATAGCCACCTAATGTGGAAAGAGATTAAAAAAAAAAACTTCAAAAATAAGCAAGACAGTATGGTCCAGCTCCCAGTTAGAAGACTAACTTAGAAAACTTAGAGCTTCTCGCCAGGTACCAGTGGCTCACGCCTATAATCCTAGCTACTCAGGAGACAGAGATGAGGAGGATCATGGTTTGAAGCTAGCACAGGCAAACAGCTCATGAGACCTTATCTCACAAAAACCCTTCACAAAAATAGGGTTGGTGGAGTGGCTCAAGGTGTAGGCCCTGAGTTCAAACCCCAGCCCTGAAAAAAAAAAAGTAAAAAAAGCAAACAGAGCTTCTCTAGTTTGTTGAATCTGTACTTGCCACCACTGACTCTGGGACTGTTGAGCCCAGTACCACATCTATGGTGAGGTTGCTGATGCTTGAGATGTCCTCCACACAGAGCTCTTGTGTGGGTCAGCTGACTTGCTGGGCTAGGAAGTTATTTCAAAATCTGTAAAGTGCTCTTGGGTGATTATTCCACAGCAAAATGATGTGGGACTTGGAGGCAGGCTACGGAGGACTGGGTGGGTCACTGTGCAAATGGGTTGCCAGAGTAATGATCAATAATTCCATGGTACATCCACGTGTTTGAGAGAATGGAGAATTCATGGAGTGACTTTTTCAGATGGCTTCTTGAGATCAGAACCAGAATGACTATTAAATTAAATGTTTTAGAAACATGCATTCATGCAGACAGTTTAGCACACGTGTAAGTAATATCTCTTCTCATTATCCTTTCAAGGTGTCATTATCTGAATGCCTCTGTATACAACACTGTCATGAATGCCTGTCCCCAAATATGGAGTGTCTGTGTTTAGAGAGCCTAGAAGGGAATAACCAGATTTGACTTTTATACTGAAGCCTGTTTTTTAACCTAAAATATCAAGCATTTTCTCCACAGAGGTACTGGGGATGTGATTTGCTCTAGAACTGCCTCAGCATAAAAGAGAAATCATTCATTTATTCAGTGAGAGGAAAAATGAGTATTCTGTATTTGACAGAGACTTCTTTTGTGTTAGAAATGGAGATGCAAATGAAGGATATTTTACTTTATTTTGATTTATAGCAGAAACATCCTCTGACAGTTGCACTCCAAGAAAATCTCTAACATCAAGTTAGAGAAATGTTCTAGACAACATGTAGGATAACAGAAATTAATTTTGGATCATTTAAACTTTTAAAACCCACTTAATATTGAGTATGGTAAAATATTACAATTCTCATCTGAAAATTGTGTGTGTGTGGTTGGTTCTTTTATTTTTTTGGTGCCAGTACTGAAGTTTGAACAGGGCCTTGGGCTTGCCAGGTGAGCAGTGCTCTACCTCTTGAGCCCCACCCTCAGCCCTTTTTTGCTATAGACATTTTTTGAATAGGCCTTACATTTACTCACGGACTGACCTGAACTGCAATCCTTCTATTTATGTTTTCCACGTAGCTGGGATGACAGGTGCCTACCATCAAACTGAGGATGGTCAAGATGGGGCGTCTCAAACTTTTTTACCCAAAGGTCTTGAACCACAGTCCTTCCTTTTCCACCTCCTAAGTAGTTAGGTTTACAGACATGAGCCACCACACCCAGCTTTGAATTCAATAAAGTTAAAAACCACTCTGCAATTTTGTAGTTCTAAACAATTTTGATACAATTGTTTGAAACTGAGTAAGGCATAGAGTTTTTGAAGTTTTGTATATTAGTCCGTATTTCACTACTGTAATGAAATATTTGAGGTGGCAAACTTTATGAAAAAAAAGAGATTTATGTAACTCATATTGCGAGAGGATCAAGAGCGTGCCCTGGCATCGCCTCAACCCCAATGAGGGCTTCCTGGCTGTGTTGCACCCTGGTAGGAGCATGTATTTAAGGGAGAGGTCACATCGTCCATGGAAGCTCAGACCTGGGGTTTCACAGTCCCTTCTACCCCCATGACCCCAGTGACCTTAGCACTTCTCAGCCCTACCTCTGAAAGGTTCCATGGCACCTCACATTGCCACACTGAGGGCCAAGCTCCCAACACATGCATCTTTGGGTGACCACATCCCAAAACCATAGTGGTTTATTGCAGTTTGGGTTTGGTTTAGTTTTTGATAGTGTTAAATTTTCTTTTAGCACATTGTAAAAGTTTTCAAAAGAGTGTTTAATCACAGTAATCAAATTTAGACTGGGCTTGGTGGCTCATGCTTATAATCCTAGCCATCTGGGAGGCAGAGATAAGGAGGATCATGGTGCATCTGAAGCGGGCCCCAGGAAAAAAGCACACCATATCAAAAAAATGACTAAGGCAAAAGGGGCTGGAGCTGTGACTCAGAGCACCTGCCTTGCAAGAGCAAGGCCCTGAGTTCAACCCTAATATTGCCCCCAAAAAGAAATCAAATTTACATTCTTCTGTAAACCGATGCAGTCACCTTTGCCACTAGTTTCAAGTATGTATTTCTGCTTCCAGGTGTACGTTGCCGACATTGAGAATGAGGAGAGCCGCTATTCTCTCTTCATGCAGCTCCTGGAATCAAGTCACCAGGAGGTTGAATTTCAGCACTTAATTTTGCTCTTACAAGCTTGGCCACCTATGAAAAGTGAACGTGTGTAAGTATTAGAATAAATTAGCCTAATTGGCCTCATTGGTCTGGACTTTAGTTCTAAAAATGTAGCATCTTCAAAAGAACCAATGAAAGATAAAATACAGGTATCCCCCAATCTGAGGGGCATATGCCCAAAGATCTCCAGTGAGTGCCGGGACTTGGGGCAGTGTCAAACCCTATGTGAACCATGTTCTGTTCTGTGCATACATGCACAGATTTAATGCCTTTTCATCTTTTTTCATTATTGTTGTTGTGCTGGGGTTACAGTGTAACATTTATAAATGTTCTTATAATATATCATAGCTGAGTTCGCCCCCTCCATCATTCTCTTTTATCTCCCCTTCCCCCATTCCTGGAATAGTTTCAATAGGTCTCATTTTTCCATTTACATAGTTGAGCACATAATTTTTCCACCACCTTTTCACCTTAACTAAGCACTTGCCATACTGTGGCAGTAATTTTTGCAGTTTAAGGTACATCAAAACTAACATGATTTTTTTTCCCTTCTTCAGAACTTCAGGTAGAAGATTCATTCTTACCACAGCTCCCAGCAGCCTCAGCATATCATCCTTGGTTTTTATTCAGTTGAGAGCTTACCACTTTTCACTTACAGGAGGAACTTTATGGCTTCTCTTTGACAAATCCAAATAGCCAGCATCACTACTCGTGTGTGGGGGCCATTATGAAGGAAAGTGAGGGTTACTTAAACACAGTCACAATAACAGTATGACAGTCAGTCTGTTCAGAGACGGCTGTTAGGTGACTAACAGAAGGATAGCATACACTGCATGGATATACAGGATGAATGTGCACTTTAAAACTTATGAATTATTTATGGAATTTTCAACATAATACTTTTGGACTATGGTTGACCATCAGTAACTGAAACCATGAAAAGCAAAATTGTAGACAAAAATTTATGTATATTATCATACTGGGCAAGGTGGCTCATATCTGTAATCCCATCTACTTAAGAGGTGGAAATCAAGAGGATCAGAGTTTGAGGCCATCCTGGGCAAAAAGTTAGCAAGCTCCATCCCAATCAGTAAGTTAGGTGTGGTGATGCACATCTGTAATCCCAGCTGTATGAGAGGCAATAGGTGAGATCTCCATTCAAATTTGCCCTATGCAGAAACATGAGACCCTATCTGAAAAATACCTAAAGCAAAATAGAGCTGGTTGGGGTGGGGGGCATGGCTCAAGTGGTAGTGTGCTTGCCTGGGAAGCATGAGGCCCTGAAAAAAAAAAAAAAAAGATGAATGTAATCAGTATTTTCCTCTTAAGAAAACTAAAATATTTTCTGAAATATTGCAATGTCTCCTTGCCTCTAAATTCAGAGATTTTCTTGAAAAGTGTCAGACAAATGCTTGGTAATCCCATCTGAGGTATAATATCAGCACAATGATTTTGTTCTAGTATTTCACCAGGAGATTTCTTGCATGTCTTTTAACACAGTTTACATCATTAACTTGAGAGTCTGTATGGAACAAATGAATGAGTCCACTTGCTGGGATCTTACTCCATTGTGTGCGAGTTACATACATTACTGATCACTCACACAGCAGCCCTGCAAAAGAAGGTGATGCTGCTGTTATAGATGAAGGAACTGAGGCTTGGAAGTTAAATAACTTCAGACACCACACAGCAAACAAGGAGAGAGATCCTGACCAGTCCCTGGCAGCTGCTGCTCATAGCTGTGTGGGGTGCTTCCCCAGCTCTGTGCTGTGAGCCACCTCACTGCACGTCCCGCTTCCCGTGGAAGCAGTGGCCATGTCCCCTCCAAGCACATCCACTGGCTGCCACCTGCCCATTGTCCCTGCCCAGACGCCCACTCCCCCTACGACTCACTCCCCCAGGCTAGTGAGTGTCTCCACGTGTTAAGAGTTAAGGATGATGTGAAGATGAACTACTCTGAGCAGCTTAGGACTGTTGCAGAACATCTGGAAAAGACTTTACCTGAACCCTAGGCTGAGACTTAAGAATGTCTGAACAAACTGAGGAGATGGGGTTTTGTTTTGGTTTGCTTTTCTTGTTTCGGTGGCACTGGAGTTTGAACTCAGGACTTCAGAATTGCTAGGCAGGTGATCTTACCACTTGAGATACTCCACCAGTCCCTGGACTGAACTCTTGATCCTCCTGACGCTCAGCAGCTGGGATTACAGGCATGCGATGGCCTGCACTATTTGAAGCTGCAGTGGACACCACAGGACTTGAGGTTCATGGGGACAGAGCACTTCCCTTCAGCCCCCACTCCTCTTGTCACAGTTGCCTTGGGACCTGGTTGTTAAATGCAGGGTCCTGAGTCCCAGTCCCAACTTCCAACTCTCTGGAATGGGACCTGGAAATGTGTTTCTAACAGACTTCAGGGGAGGACAACGTGGAGCAGGTGGGGGCCCGTGACTACGCTAGGAAATTAGGAGGGTTGAATTGTAGATTTCTTCACTCCCTCTTTTCTGAATTCCAAATACAGTACTTCTGGTAGATTTGTTAACTCTGCCTGTACACTTTCTTTTTTACCTTTAGAAAACTGACTATCCAAAGTCATTCACTTTCCCACAAGGACCAAAGCAGTTTTACTTAAGACAATTATTACATTTAAAACCCTAATGCCTTTATAGGTAAATCTCTGTTAATTTTCATAGGTATAGGCTTACTGTTTAAGTTACCTGCAAAGTGGAACTTGTAAATCGCTAACCTGCATGTGACAGACTCCTTTGTTACAGAGTTAGTGTGGTACCCTTGTCCTTGCCTTCCTGGCTCAAACTGATAGTCCTGCAGGAGAATGTAGGCTGGGATCCTTTCATCAGAAATGCTTTTGAGCATTTTTTTTCCCTAAACAAGCCAATGTCTGACTTTAACACTTCCAAAATAATGGGAGGGGGAGAGAAGGAGGGAGGTAAGGATGGTGTGAAAATGGCGGCGTCTTGCCAGTCCACACAGTAAGTTTAAAGTTAAAGACTTTGTGTACATGATGGTGTGCCAGTACAAGGTGAGTATCCCTTTGCTGCAATGCCTGGGTCCAAAAGGGTTTCAGATTTCAGACTTTGGAATATTTGTGTGTACATCATGAGGTACTTGTGGATGGGACCCAAATGATCTAAACACAAAATTCACTCTTATACACAGTCTGAATGTGATTTTGCACAACATTTTTAGTGGATCTGCAGTTTGATTGTGACCTGTCACATGGAGTCAGGCATGAAATTTTTCATTTATGGCATCATGTCAAAACTCAAAAAGTTTCATATTTTGGAGCATTTTGAATTTCAGATATTCAGATTAGGGGTGCTTATCCTGTACCAACTTTGATTTTTAGTGTTTGTCCCTTGTAGGAATATGCAAGTAGAATAGATTTGCACCTATGGAAGTTGTGGAGTTTTCATGAAGTTTCTCACAGCTGCCTGGTGAAGCATGTTTTTTGATAATTTGTTGTCAGAGCCACATTGTCCATTGGTTCACTGTGCTACAGACCATTGTGCTACAGTGAGTGGGCCCAGGAGAGAAAAGCCCAGAAGAACGGAGGCACATTCTTGAGCTTAGGAAAACTTCTCACTCCACTCAACACTCCTAGAGCTCTGCTGCTACCTGAAATAAGCAGCATTCTTTGTCCCCACAGACTGTTAGTTTGAGCTGATACAGCAAGGTTTTGCCAAAAGCTAGTATTGTCAGTGCCCTTGTCACTGTTACACTTGAAAGTGTTTTCAAGGGACAAGGAATAGAATTCTTTCAAGGGGAGGACAACCCCTAGCTGTTCAATGTCTGGAATCTACTGCTCTGCTAAGGAGACAATAGACTTTTTTTTTTTTTTTTTTGGTGGGAATGGGTTTGAACCCAGGACTTAGGCTTGCAAAGCAGGCACTCTACCACTTGAGCCATACCTCCAGTCCATTTTCCTCTAGTTATTTTGGAAATGGGGGTCTCTCAAACTGTTTGCCCAGGCTGGCCTCAATCCATACTCCTCCCAGTTGCAGTCTCCCAAATCGCTAAGATTACAGGTGTAAGCCACCGGTGGCTGGCTGACAACAGACTCTAAGTAGTAAGAAAATGTTTAACAAATATTAGTAAAATCAGAGCCCTAATCCTGGGGCTGTGAAGTGACTTTACCTTTAACTTGTCTATTTCCATGAAATAGGGGAGAGTGGGAGTCAGAGAGGGGAAGGAACAGGCAAACTGCCTGTTCCCGATACAGAAAACCACAGAGGCACAGGGTGATCTTCTTAGTGCTTGCCTGTGCTTCCTCAGCCCATGTCCCCATCTGACTTTGGCAGTGCACTGTATGCATGTCTTTTCTGTGTTACAAGTTCTCATCTGAAACATCCTGTGTAGCTATCTTAAACAAATAAAAATATCATTCTTTTTTCTTTTCAAAAATGGAGAACAGGAAGGCAAAACAGGTCCTGTGTGGGAGATTGGTACCAGTGGGAGGGGAAGGATGTAAGTAAAGTGTGAAGGAGGTGAATATGGTGGGAATATTATGTATGTTTGTATAAAAATGGAAACATGAGACCTATAGAAACTATTCTAGGAATGGAGGGGGATAAAGGAGAATGATGGAGGGATGAATTCAACTATGATACGAGAACTTTTGTAAATGTCACAGTATGCTCCAGTACAACTTATAACAAATAAATAAATAGAAAAAATTAAAATTCTTCTCACAGTTGTGAGAGCTTTAATCACTTCCAGTACTGTGCATTTTCTCCATTAGAAGCAGCATACCCAGTAACCCATGGCTGAGACTGGCTACAGTGATGCTGACCAGATGCACGGTGGAGAACAAGGAGGAATTGGGGAATGAAGTGTTGAAAATCTGCCGCTCTTTGTATAACACTAAGCAGATGCTGCCTGCAGAGGTGAGTGGATATTTCAAGTGGCTTTCCCTGGGGATACACTTTTTCTTGTCAAAATCCCTTATTCTAAGCAATCCCAGTGACTGTACTTGAGGACATTTAGCTTAAGCCATTACTGATAAAGCCCATAATTTGTAACCGATCAAATTAAGAAATGCAGTGCTGAAAGGATGCTTTGAAGGAGTTTTCTTTCTGTTAAAGCTCTGAAGCTGTATATATTTCTTTTACAAGTCCCAGAGCATAAGCCAGTTTCAGGCCCTCTGGATGCCCTTCTGTGTCTAACCCAAGTTGATGTTCTAGGGGTCAGGGTGGCCCATGCATTATCTATCGGAAATTGGCCAGTTACAAAGTTGTTGGCAGCATTTGCAATCCCCTCACCAGGTAACCAATCAACCACTCTGCTTTTTACATACTTTTTGACACCATTACAAAAAAATTACTTAACTACAGTATTTATTTTCTGCAACATATGGTAAAAATTCAACCACTTCCAGTTTGACCTTTGTGCTCTATTTGATCCCATTATTTGACTGTCACAGAGATTTTCTTTTGTGTGTGTGTTTGTGTGTGTATACATATATGTAGACGTGTGCATACAAACATTTCTGCATTCTCTTAATTATAACCCTCTGCTGCACATCCTACCACATTAGTGTATGGTTTGAACAATTTATATGTCTTAAGTTTAAGCATTTGGATAACGGTATTAAATTGATTAGTTGGTTTTGAGTTTCTACCGGATAGGAAATAAACTTGAAAATAAAACCATAAATACGATCCTTTGACTTCTTATTCTAATCACTGAAAGAAACTGTTCTTACTATGAATGCACATGTAGTGAATGGTTTTCGGAATGAGAGACTAGATAAGTGGTTTTTGATTGAATTTTACAATATTTTATCCATTTAAGGAAGTCTTCCAACCAACAAACAACCAGTTTTTCTATAAAATATTTTAAGTGCCAACACCAAAAATAGCATCCCTTTTCTTCAATGGAGTGGGATTGAGCTGTGACCTGCTCTGCCATATTGAGGGCACCTGGAGGGTGGGAACCATGGTTGGATTATCTCTGTCACCAGGGCAGAATTCAGCACACTCCCTTCAGTGGGCTCAATGTAATTTCTTATCTGCACCAGGGTATGTAAGCAACAGGGTAAGAGTATGTGAAGGCTTCACCTTTGCCCTAGTGTAAACTAAGAGTGAGATTGTCTGTTCAGGAACAAGTACCAGAAGTGTCCTACTGTCAGTTCTGTGCGGTCTAGGTTACTTAGGATCTGAAGGTACTGTCTGACAAGCTGCTGGTAGTGTTTTAACTGAGGTCGGCTAGCACTCAGGCTTTCACTTACACTGTCTCCTTTAGCTCACCAATACCCATGACAGTGGATGGAGGTCAAGGCTCTTGATCTAGTTGCCTTAAGCAATGGATGCTGCTTCTAATCCTCCAATCAAGTCTTTGTGTTAAATGCTGGAATATCTGCTGCATGCAGTTGCACACATTTTATTGTCAACTTTCCCTTTTCCATAATACTTCTTTCAAAAATGGCCTATAGAATTCAGCCTCTAAATTATCAGTTGTTAGGTTGTTAGGACCTCTACCATTGCCTAGAGCAATCTGTTTGGTTTTTTAAATATTTTTATTGGTTTGGTTTTATTATAACTTTTCTAAGGCAAAAAAAAAAAAAGCAAACTGATATCTTGCTGTTATCTTAGCTGATAACAAGACCTCTGCATCTTTGACCCTGATGTCATCCCTCTGGCTGGCTAATCAACAGTTCATATATTGTCTGCTAGCAACCTGGGAATAGGTAACAGGTATTTTCTGAGTGTCCATAACAGTAGTAAGTCTTCTTTGCATTACACTTCAATTTTAGGTTTCCCTAAAATTATTCTTTTCATTGACTAACGTGTCACAAGTTTGTGCTTTCAGGTTTTTTTGTTTGTTTGTTTGCCAAAAAATAAGATTTGGTAATTAAATATGCTAAATAGGTATGATGTTTCAGCTTCCAATATGCTTGTACACCCAGGTTGAAGAACTTGGACAAATAGAGTAACATATTAAGTTAATTTACAGCGGTCCCGATTGATCTCAGACACAGAGTGACCCACTCCTCATACCCCTCCATGGAGAGGGTTTCCTTGTCTGTCCAACTCTTCCTTAGGACTGGAAGCCCTGGAAGGACAGGGAACAGCATACGTGCAGAGAAGAAGGAGCCCTAATAATGCAGGAATTTTCATAACTAATGTTGGGACTGGGCCATGCACCATCCATTAACTCAAGAAAATCACCACACTCTCCTCACCTTCATCTCCTGGTCTCAGAAAATGATCTTGGGGGGACTGTTGTTCTGTCTCTGCTGCAGTGTCTCCATCTTGCAAGGAGATTGAGTTTAGGCTACCTGTGTGCTGCTTCATCCATAGCACACAGCCCACTATGCCCCTAGATCGACAGCTCTCTTGGGGTAGGGAGAGGGAATGGATTAAACCCCATCTCAGGGACAGTCATTATCACCTTTCTGTTCCAATTTGTTGAAATGAAAGGTAATTATTCATGTTCTCTCACCACCATGATATCTCATCCATTTATTTATGCTGGCTCAGTTTCTCTCTCTTCATTGGGCATATTTATTGATTTTTTTTTTTAGGTTTTTTTATTAGAGGAGGTTCACAAATGGTATACACTATTTTTATTGATGTTAATGTGTTTAAACATGAATTAAATGTTACAGAGGAAGGCACATTATTAAGAAATGAAAATGTCTTAAGTTTATTTTATCACATTTGAAAATTACATAGCTTAATTTCAGAGTTCCATAATATTTTATATTACATTGGCGGGAAAGTCATTCATGAATCATTTATTTTTTTAATCCAGAATCCTTGTTGCCCTCCATGGTTAATGAAGAGTGTGCCCAGTTGTTTATGGCATGTTGCTTTGGTGGACTCACCTTTATCTTCATCTCCTTTGCCATTCCCTACTCCCATGTTAATACATTTTTCTCTGTGACTCTTCAGAATGCCTTTTTGTGATTCCCTGTTATTGCTCATGGTATTTACTTACAGCAATGATGGTTTTCCTCGTGAAAAATACTGCCAGCAAGATAAAATCACTGTTTTTCACAGGTCATGTGTCCCACAATCTTTAAAGTTTTGTATTCTTTTTCTCAGCTGTATCCATGGTAATATATGAAGCATTCTCAAGAGTGGGGTATATGTAGAAAAAGAAATTGGCATAAAGCAGGTTCTTAGCATTTACACATCTGAAATCCCAACTTCCAGCTATTTGTGACTGACCCTGAAGGTCCCTGACTTTGCTGAGGCACAGCATGAATTAGAGTCACAGATGCTATGGGGCTGTTGTGTGGGAGTATGTCACCCCACTAATGAGTGAACCTGGCTAACCCCCAGCTCCAAAACCTCAAATGTGACTATTCTCCCCCATGGTTGAGCCACTTTTGATAATGCCAGGAGCTTGATTTTTAGAATCAGATGACATTCAGTCACTTACCCTTTCTACACTCTGCTTTCCTCATCTGATTGGTGAGACTAAGATAGTACCTTCCTCAGAGGATTTGTGGAGAAAGCTAAAAGAGCTGGCGCATACTGAAACATAATAAGAAGCAGTTGGAGTTCAATGGAGCAGCTGCTTCTCCAGGTGGAAATTATAGCCCAAGAGGCACCTTCAGCAGCCTGGAGGTAGAGCTCAGACCCACCATGATCTGGAGACTCTGGAGAACAATAGTCTTAGGGATGTTCTGTGACCATCTGTCCAGGGTGCAGTGTGACCACCAGTGTGCAGGCCCAGCTGGCTATGATTCTGCCTGACTAGGATCTACAGAACCACAGTACTAGAGGATGCTGCAGGGGGAGCTCACACCATTCCCAGAACTGCAGGAGAGCAAAGACCACAAACTGCCCTGCTAACCTAGGCAACACTATCACTGCATCACTGATCCCTGCAAAGCTTGTGCCTTGTGTTCCCACTATAGACCCTGTAGCACCTTTAGATACCTGACACCTTGGGGCCAACAGGAGGGTGTGTGAAGACAGAAAGACTAAAGGAGTATTGGTGGACTGCTGTTGTTTTCCTGGCAACTACCACAGGGACCATGCCCCAGTGCATTGCCATCAATCCTAGTCCACAGGGAAAACAACTGTCCATGGTTGTGGCCTAGCTGTGAGCCCAGGCACATCCTGTTCATTCAAGGCCTCTGTCTGTGTGTTATGGGTTCTCATGATCTGACAAGTTTGAGCTGTGCAGGTGTTGAATGAAATGTTTTGTGGTTCTCTGTTTCTTTGGCCTTTCTTGAAGCTCTCCACATTCCTTTATGAATTTCCTAATAAACACTCCTTTGGCAATATGGTGGAGGAGATGCACAATGAACATAGTACAAGATCTAGTATTTAAATACAGAGTAGGCAGGTAAGCGTGGGGACATGTACCTATAATTTTGCACTTGGGAGGCAGAGGTAGGAGCATGGAGAATTCAAGGCCAGTCTGAGCTATATAGCGAGATTCTGTCTCAAAAAACCAAACCAACCAAAAAAAAAAAAATCAGAGTATTTGGCCAATAACTGTTAGCTAAGAGATTTAAAAAAAAGAAAGCACTTAAGGGCGTCTGCATTCTCAGCTGCCCTTACCTGGCCATTTGCCATCTCTCCATTATGTCTCTTCAGAAGGGCATCCAAGTTACTTCATAAAACTCGTCATTAAAGCTAAGGTCAGACAAGTGTTGTGCTTAGTGTAAGCATGATAAATTGCTGAGAACGCTTGTTTACGAGTCACCAATAACTTACTGAGTATGCAGATGTGAGTGTTATGGAATTGTATACAAGTTTTTTAAAGTATAGTGTATAGTGAGTAAATTTGGAATACAGAGAAGGAAAAATACTCTTGCCCTCAAGAGAGACAAACAGATGAATAACTGCAGCAGTGCAGGACAAAAGACAATATGTAAATATTTATAAAGTGTAGTGGGAACATAGAGTGCTAACTTGGGATGGCCAGAGTTTCCTTCCCACAGGAGGTAGGGATTTTCAGTTCCTTTTTTAAGCTGTGTCTTAAAGGGCAGAGGCTACCCCATGTGCAGGCCTGGAGGTGTGAGTGAGTCTGCCTCCAGTGGCTGTTCCAGCAAATAAGGTAGCCACTAGCCACATGTGACTATTAAAATGAAGACAGAAGCAAAACGAAAAGTACAGTCCCTTAGATGTCCTAGCCACATCTGGTTGGTGGCTTGTGGCTCCTGTATTGGGCAGCCCTAATTAAGAGTGTTTCTGTCATGAACCACGCTGTATGCATGCTCTGTGGGCCGTGGTGCTGCAGAAACCTGTGAAGAAGAAGTTATAGGTAGCAAGTCGGGACTCAGCCAGGCTAGAGTCTCAGTCACAGTTTATGTTTCATCCTCCCAAATACTTTCTGCAGCTTTTGTCATCCTAGCTGAAAAAAAATCAACATTTCTCTTTGGCCCAGATGCTTGCTGAGACTTCGTGGGGTATGTGGGGGGGTGTCCATCAGGCATACATAGTGCTTTTCTGAATTAGAATTCATAATGCTTGCAGTATACATTTTTACAAACTGCTTCCCTGCTGTATGGATCATTGTGACACCAGTTTGCATAACATAGCCATCCACTCTGAAATTTGAAGGCCTTGCTGATTTCCAGGAGCTGAGTAAAAACAAAAGATATACAGTGCACGAATTCCAATGAGGACTTTCTCCTAGGCTTAAATGGAGCTTCTTTGTGTCATCCTCATTTTATCTCTGCTTTATAATAATGTAAAGGAATATTTGAATTTTTCTTCTCTGATCTGCTACTGTTTGAGTAGCACAGGAGGAAGATCATCCTGTGGAGGACAGTGATCCTCCAGTCCTTTTTCAAAACACCCTGCTTTAGTGTAACGGGGTTGCATTTATTGTCTGCTCTGTGGTCCAAGTGTTCCGTTCTTTGTGTCCTAGCTAAAGTCAGGACACCAAAGGTAGTAAGCTCAGCAGGACAAAACAGCTTCAGTTTTTTTATTCTTTTATACTGTTATGTACATTATACTTTTGTTGGAAAGGATTATCATTTCTTAGTTTATTTAAAATTCTGTTCTCTGATGACAGGTTCATTCAGTATAATAAAAGGCTGAGAATAAACTTGGGGTACACTTGTAGATATCCACACATTTTTATTTTTCTGCACTACACATAGTTTTCATGAAGATAGACTATCTTGTGGCTCAAGTGCACAGCACTCGCCTAACAAAAACAGAGCCTGAGGTCCAACCCCCAGTACCTAAAATAAAAAAAGATAAAATATTTTGCATATTTCAAGGATGCAGCTCACTTTGATAGTAGAGTAGCATTTTAAAGATGTTTTAAAATACTTGCTGATCTCCTTTGTTTCAGTGGATGGTAACTAGGTATTAACAATATCAATATTATGTTAGCAATGAATAACTATTATTATTAAGCATTTACCATATACTCAATGTCTCTCTCCCTCTCCCTCTTTCCTTCCTTCCTACCTCCCTCCCCCTCCTATCCTCCCTCTCCTTTTCACACACACTTGCACACATACTAAATTTGCAAACCAGATATAGACAAGTACCTCCATTTGACTTGTGAGAAAGCTAGTGCTCTGAGAGTTTAGAAAGGTAAATTACAGCACTAGATCCATAAAATGAGTACCATCCAGCCACCAAAAGTGATGTTTGACAGCTTGGAAAGACATTCACAGTTTGCTATGAAGCAAGTGATGTGGATACCAAACCTATACCCAGTATGGTCCTGGTGGCCTTACACATGTGTGCACACCGTATGTTCATAGGCAAAAGTGGAAAGCTGCATCCAGAGACGTGCTGCACAAGGATGACATGTGCTTCTGAGTCACACTGAGCTTGTGTCGCCCCTGTGGTTTCAGGGTGTAAAGGAGCTGTGCCTGCTGCTGCTTCACCAGTCCCTCCTGCTCCCATCCCTGAAGCTTCTCCTTGAGAGCCGAGATGAGAGCCTGCAAGCCATGGCCCTGCAGGAAATCTCAGCTGTCACTAAGGTATGCCTGGTTTACTGGTTTTGTTTGTTTCAAAGAAATGAATTAGCACTTTTACTCTTAAAACAGTAACTATGCTTAATTACTTTTATCTACAGTACTCTCTGATCACATTGGCTATCTCTCTTCTGTCCAAACAGTACATCTTTGTTAGTTTTACAAACATTTACTGTGCCACTTCCATGACCCAGACTGTTCAGCTGCTTAGGATATAAATATACATAACAAGTTTTTCCAGAGAAGGAGCATATTATCTCACGGCTCAGCAGACCAGTCTTCTTGCCTTGGATTTGAATCTAGGGAGCTCCTAGCATCAGACAGTTGTCCACCCCGGAGAGCATCTGGTTAGCTACTAATGAAAGGTGAGAAGCAGTTCCCAGCAGCATTCACTGACACCATCCGAAATCTTGCACTCATGTCTTCTGGCAGCTAAGCCACCATTGAAGTGATTTCCTAGCTTGAAGACCGATATGCTGAAGTCAAGTGTGGAGATTCCTCCCACAAAGTTGGTTGTGTTGTTATGATTGAGGAAGAAACTTTCAAAGTTGAGAAATTTATTATTAGGTAGCTGAAGGTTGTGTTTGAACAACCCATGTTGTGTGATACTTCCTGAAACCCTTTTGTTCAGAGATCATTCTTGGAATTGTGTGTGTATTTTATGTACACATATACACATACGTGTA